ATATGTTTAAAACTAGTTCACGCTGACCATTCACTGGCTAGTTACTTCATAACACGGCGCTTCGCTTTTGTTTTAAATTTTATTTTTGTTACCATATCAATGTTACACATTCTTGCTATCAATCTTTGGTCAACTTTCGCTAAATGACAGTTTTGAATATTCCAAATTATCTATGCATCATTTTGTCTGTACATTTCGCTTATAAAAACATAATAAAAGCAAGTTTTACTTAATATGCTACATGTCTTGAGTGCTCCAATAATTCTTTACTGAATTGTTGTTTTTATCTTTATTTATTACATATTACATTTTACAAATGCAACTATAGGTGAGTAAAATATTAAAAAATAGGTAAGTAGGTATGCATATGAAATTAACGTTCTCTTTAAATTATTAGCGAATACTGACCGAGAGACTGTACAACTGTTTTGTGTGCATGGGTACTTCTGTCCCATTCATATTTGTTTTTTTTTTCATAAGTTAAGATGGCTTGGTAACCTTGACTGCGCTATCGGAATACGCTAGCAAGACACCAATGGGAGATAATAAGCAAAGATGAAAACAAGGCAATTAGCCCATCGTGATGAATTCCACACAATTTAACCACTATAATTTCAAAGGGGAACTGTGTGGGAGTCGAGCTGATAGAGTAAATTTTTAGCAATGAGCATTATGTTATTACTATAACATTCTTATTTGTTTTTTCCGCAAAACAACTTGTTTGCATCCCTATTTTCAATTAGAAGGATGAAATATAGTAATAAAATTACAGAGTACGGAGGCAAAACAATCCTTAGGAATGGTGCTACAGTGCATTTTTCCATAGCTCTGTTCATGTCTATTTATTATTATTAGTCGTTAACTGTCCACTGCTGAACATAAGCTTCCCCCATAAGTGGTTTTGCCTTCACGTCTGTAGGAGAGCGTTATTGCTTTTTATCAGTTTCTTTTCCAATCAAAATTGTAATATATGAAAAGTCTTTTTACCTCTGTCCCATTCGTGTTGCAACCGTGAAGCAGCTATGTTTGCATGGCTATGTTTCGGTTAGGGTGGGATATGACGTGAATTTACTGGGTACAGAGGAATAACACCTAAGTCCTCAGGAATGGCAACGCATGGGGGATATCATGGGCGAAACCGTATACTCTGTTATGTCCGTGGTACTGATCATGTCTATAGGCGACGGTTACCACTTTCCTTTGTTTGCCATTCTAAGTTGTATAAAAAAATAATTTTTTTTTTTTGGTTAGATATTGAAATCATAATCATAACTGTAACCAAAAATAATATTGTATTATTTCATAATAATCCTACTTACTTATATTGCGTGATAATTATATAAATACTCGACAAGAATTATAATGCCAAACAGTGTCGTTATAAGTATTCGATATCAATATTCATAGATGTCTAAGAATGATAATTAAAGAGTCACGCATTTTAAAAGAAATATTTAAAAATATTCATGTATTTATTAAATTCCATGCAAAATATTTATACTTAATCTGACAATATTTAATGCCTGTTATACATAAAGATCAATAATAAAAATGTTAATAATATGTATATCTATCATATTTAAGGGACCCACGATTCCTAGGTATGGAGAAGAGCAAACTGACTGACCAAACTTCCTTGGTCTTACATATATTTATTCCATTTCTATAACTCGTCTCCTAACTAAAAACGTCAGTTCCAGACTCGAATCTTGAATTATTTCTCAGATTGAACAATTATCTAAAAAAAATCATTAATTAATTGAATAACTTTTTTATATAATAATTGAATTTAATTAATTGGATAACTTTTTCTAAGTTTTTTTTCGGCTGTCTTATCATAAAGAATTCGAGATATCTGCTTTGTAACATATTGTTGCGGTAGCCAACTTTAGTCAGTATTTTCATGTACGCCGAATAATTCAAAACCTCTGTGTAAAAAAGTGTTGGAAAATGCGAAGAAAACATCCCTTACACTTGCAAAATTATGTTTCTAGTTAATTACGATACATAAGCATTATATACATACTACTTGTGAGTTACAAAAACTATCACATCTAACTACTGCATTTGTTTCTAATCTCCAATACCAATTCAGTATTTTATTTTTCAACACATTACTTTTATAGTAACCAGAGCCATCTATATATCTTTTTAAAATATAAAACAGCACTTAGCAGCGCCACCTTGCGGAGTAGAATACGTCATCTTAGGCTGCTGTTTAAATGCCGAATGGTAGCGAGGATGACAACAAAACAAAGTCCCATTATGATCAAATAGTTCCGTTTAATGAAACTAGATGGCAATAGTGAAAGAAGAGTGTCTATTCTACAGTAACAAATTAAAAATATATTGTTAAATTTACAGTTTTAAGAAAATTAAATACTGGATATGTATATTAAATGAATCATTTCTTTTAATGAAATTTTCTTGTTCATGTTACTATTAAACGTTGTCTCTTTTAATTTAGGTACAGTGTATTAACATAACTACCTCAAATTATTTAATTAACCAAAATTATACTTACAAAAAAAAACTTAAAATATGTATGCATGGTATGTAGTAATGGGCAATGTCAATAAAATGAGTCTAGTTACAAAAATAAATCATGTTGAAAAATTAACCTAATTTTCCTGACCGTTATACTCATATTAAATTAACTATTTAACTCCAGATCAATACGCTAAACAGAGGCTCAATTTGAACTTAAACAATTAATAATAAAGTGCTTCATATAAAATAGAGTTTCAGTTGTTATATTGTATGTTGGCTGAAATATGGAGTACAATAAAGATCCATCTTGAGTAAGCACGAACGGGAAGTTTCTATTCAACTTAGTAATAGTTTTCGTTTGCCTATACACAAACAGATTACTCTCCATGAAGTTAAATAAGTTATTATGTAAGTATATTACGCATATATAGCGATAACAACGTTTCGACATTCCAGTGAAAATCAAAATATTTTGTCATTAAAATGTGATGAAATTGTGTTTTCATCTTCGACAGAATATACCTATTGCGTGAATGTTTATAGTTTCGACCGGGATTTAAAATGTAATAGAATAATATTAAGAGAAGGAATGAATTATGTAAAGGAAAATTTACTATCTCTTATAACAAATATAATAAAATCAATTTTCGTCATAAAAGAACGATAAATGACTGCGTTGTATTCCCATGAGACAAGACAAATTTTGATTTAGTGGTTTTCTTTTTTTTCTATAATCTGTTATAATTAAGACATTGTGATATATGAAATTTACTGATATTTATATTAAAAGAAAATTTGCACGCTATTTCTAGTAAAATATGGAGGCGTAATAACCTATTAATACATTAATCCACTTGTAATACCCATATTTGAGATAATAAATTATTATTATTAAAAAAAAGAACCTCTATTCTTTTACCCTACTTCTATTAATAATCATTCTAATCACGTCTTCATCAATCAAGAAACTGATTAACTATCGCAATATAAAATTTGGTAACTTTAATATTGAACATTTTAATAAATATTTGGCAATGTATGAAAAACTTATTTACTGTTTGATTCAATTTTTATTTAATGCATTGATAACGGAATAGTAATTCCGTCTGCGCTGTCGGTATACACTGGCGGAGTACTAGTGGGGAATGACAGATGAGGATGAAACCGGTCAGTTCGGGGGAAAGGAATTGTTAGTAATGGAGACTGAGAATCCCATTGCTAGCATAATACCCAACCACGTCGACCTCCTCGCGGTTCGCCCTGGAAACTATCATGGTTAATTCCTCATGAATTCATCATGATGGGTTAACTGGTCTGTTTTCACTCTCATCTATCGCCCTTCACTGGTGCTCCGCAAGCGTATACTGTTAGCGCAGACGGGGTTACTATACCATTTTCAGCCATAAAAAAAACCGGTCAGTTGGCTCATCGTGACAAATTCAACGATAAATTCATTACGATGGTTTACAGGGGGAACCTTGTGAAGGAAGGACCTGATAGGGTATATTGTTAGCGAAGGGGTTGCTAATTTCTATTGTTAACAAATCTTTCTTCCCCCTTTTTAAATTAATTGTCAAACATATTAGTCTCTTTGATAATTAATATGTAGTTTTCATTAAAATTGTAGAAATACTTATTTTGATAGGCTAATAATTAAAGTACCTTATTATTTTAAAGCCTTGTATAAAGGCGCAAATGCCACAGATTTGATAAAAATTAGTTATTAATTTTTAAGCAAAATACGCAACTACAGTTCAGAGAGATATATGGACCTGCCTCTGTGGGCTAAATGCATATAATTATTAGTTTTACTCGCAGCTTCGTCCGTGTGTCAGGAATTATGTTGATTGACCAAAAAAAATAATATGCGCCATGACGCAAGAAAAAATAAACAAACTCACTTACATATTTATAGTTTAGTAAAGATGGTAGTGTTTCATTTAAAAATTTTATATCTTCGTTTAAAAATTTCTCCTCAGGCTATAATTAACGCTGTCCAGAAGTGTACAATAATGTAAATTTATAATATTATTGTATTCATTAGTCCTCACGTGGCCGACCCAAATTGTAGATACATGTAACATCACAGGCAGCTTGCAAAGATAAATAGGATTTGTAACCGGATGTTCCGCCATGTTGGGTCTGTTACGGAAACAACGTTATCCTTCCGGTACACTCGAAAATGTTACACTTGCTAAATAAAAATCTTTTAGTACACAATAATGTTCAAGTGATATTTCTTTGATTTCCATACTAATACTATTAATGTGTAGAGGACCAGTAACGAATTGTATAATAGGTTGAATAAATATAGTACAAACGGACCTTATTGCATTTTTAGTCTGTATTTGATAAATAAAAAAATATATAATTTCCTATCTTTTTAGTTTCTAACCTATCTATTCATTATAGTTCATAGTCCTGAAAACTAGATGGCGCTAGTGCGTATATACAACGCGATATTAAAATTTCTGTACCGCCAATATAGGATACATGGCAAACTGTTATCGTTACTCTGGTTTCCCATCAAAACGGATAAATCTTTCGCCTTTTACTAAAGATTTCCGTGGTGGGGAGCAATCAAATGAGTCTTATTCATTTTTTGCAAGTCTCGCGCAAGCGGGATTTTATTATTCTTTTAAAAATCCTAAAAAAAATAAAAAATAGTAGTCCATTAGGAACGAACGATATTTAAAAAACATCGAACATCAACGTCATAATCGAAAGCTCAACATCGATGTTCGATATTCATTATAAACCGAACATCGATTTTAGGTAACATTGATAATTTTAGCACTGATAACAATACAATAAAATACAGTAAAATCGTTCGAAATTTATTAAGAAACAGAACAAATTATAGTACATTCCAAATACTTTTTATCAACTGACTGAAGGAAATGTCATTTTGATAAAGAAGAACCTTTTTAATCTATTTCTTTGTTGACAAAGAGTAGAGCCAACTTTTGAAAACAGTCTTTCGGATGGCGTTAATGTCGCGATAATACTCAAATAGTCCAACGCACGCAAAACAGCACAACATAAATTTTTATCAACAAACGATAAAATACGTAATTTGTTTCATATGTTGCATTGATCGTGCGTGAGGCCGTGACTAACATCGATGATCGATTATCGATTCGTTACATCGATGTCACGATATTTTTCTTATAGCACCATCGATGTTTTCCCTTTAAACATCGATGATTATCGAGCATATCTAATGTTCATATATGTATATACATATCCTCGTATGCATGGTTCAGTTTCAGCCTTTGTAACGAAATTTATATATATAAACCCTGTCTTTGAACTTCTGTAGATTACACGGAAATTGGATGTTTGCATTGATATAATTGCAATTAACAAAAGTTGTTGGGGAAAAGAATTGTTAATAACGGTGACTAGTGCCCTATTGTCAGCGATATACGAGTATACAGTCAGGTCGACCTCCACGCGATTCCATCGTGTATATTCTTCAAAAATTTATCACGATGGGCCAACTGACCAGATTACTCAGAGGGTGCTTGCTTGTTGTTTAGTCACATGTATTTTATTTGAACCGAGAATTGTGAAATATCCGATCAAGTTATAAATTTTTTTTATCTGATACTTTGATCTTTATGAACAAAACAAATATATTTTATGCTGATATAATTTATAGTCAACGTATTTTATACAGACTATGGAGTACTATGGACTATGGAATATGATTTAAAATACTTGTAATTTGTCCCACTTTTTTTTAATTAAAATGTTTTTGTTATTTATACACGAGACCGGTTTCGAAACTTTATTTTCAGGCGTATTTATAAAACCAATAAATAAAGTACAAGTATTCTAAATAATATAATATTATTTTTTTATATCACTGAGGTGGCAAACAAGTATACGGCCCACCTGATGGTAAGTGGTTACCGTGGCCTATGAATGCCTGCAATATCAGGGATATTATCTTATATACTGAACAAACCTCATTACACCTTTTTTGAAGAACCCCATGCCGTATTTATCCAATTTAGCCAAGTTCCATCAAGAAAAAGAACTATAATAAAACAAATATTTTTTAACTAAGTATACGTTTATTTTAACTGACTAGTACTACTACAACCAAACAAAATATACATGTACAATACTACCTAATATCTTCTAGAACTATAAAGAACTTCACCTTGACGGAACGAAAAATAAAAACTAAGTAAACATTTTTATAAGGATTATAAAGCTGAGAAAAAAATTATATAAATAAATTTACATACATATTACGAAGCGGTATAAGTGAATGCTTCTTTAATATGCTTAAATGATAATAATAAAATAACTATATAATATAAAATAAAATATAAAATAATTGAAAAATATTATAAATTTTTTAATATAAAATTAGATAATGATACTGAATGAAAATTGATACTCTTATTTTTTTATTGCCTACTTATACAAGCGTCAATAGATTTCTGAACACAATTAAAAATGACATATAATATTTTGTTTCACTTAATATAATGAATCAAATTATAATAATTATAATTGGTTATGTTTTATAATTACATATATAATAATTATTGAACATAACTAATTATAATTGTGGTAAAAATTAGAAGAAGCAGTATGTATAGGGAGATAAAGGATATGGCCTGAGATAGAGCTGGCTGGAGGAAGATGCATGAATTAGTTGCACCGACAAGAGGAAACTCTTAAATGAAAATAGTATGTATTAAAATTTTCTATAAACCACAAGCTGAAAACCATAACAGGGATATTATTACTGTAAGTTAATTAAGAAAATTACTACATGTAATTAATAGATTCAGTGGCATCATAAAAGGAAGAATTCACGGTAGTAAGTCTGTGCTTTTAAATCTATTATCTATTAATTTTAACAACAAATGTTAATATTATTGTATGTAGATAAATATCTATAAAAACATATTATTGTTATAGATAAATATTTACATAACAATATATATAGGTAACCAGGTATACAGTATAATTCAATAATATTAAATAAAAAACTAAGTACCTATAGATAATATAAACTTATGATACAAATTCCACTACTTACTTACTTATGTATGCCTAGTATATTTCAAATGAGATTTAAAACCAGGAGCTCGGTTAGTAACGAAAATAACTATTAATAATTAATAATTATAAAATAAAAATATCTTTTTTATGCAACTTAGAATGGAAAATAAGCTAATGGACCACCTGATGGAAAGTGGTAATAGACATAAACTGTACCATGGGCATAATAGAGTATACTGCGTCATCCATGATGTCCTTCATGCGTTGCCATTCCTGAGAACTAAAGTGTTATGCCTCTATACATCTATGTTATATTTTAATTTTAATAAAAAAATAAACAAATGTAGTCTATGCTCTATAAGCTTTTAAAGTACATTAAACCCTTCATTATCGACGTCACCACCAAAATCTTCCAAAAGATATGATAAACTGAGTTTTTTTTTGTATCATATATTATTATACCAAAGCCTATTATTATTCGTTTCTTATCACTTATGAATAGTATTGTTCTTCGTATTTATTACATTAATAAAGCCATTCACAATGATTAATGTTACACCGGACTATGAAGTAAATGATAGCGTATTTTAATATCCCCATCCAGGCCAACTGAAAGAGTTCATTCCCAATGATATGTATTGTTTTCAAAAATAGTATAAGTAATATTTTACTTATTTAATTCGGGCAAAGTTCAATAAAAACCGATGGATCACCAGATGAGTTACCATAGGAAGACTTTGTACAAAAGTCGATTGCTTGGGTACCTCTGTCCCATTCGTGTTTCTACCGTGAAGCAGTTGTGTTTGCATGGCTGTGCTTCGGTTTGAAGGGTGGGATATGGCGTGAATTTACAGGGTACAGAGGAATAACACCTGATTCCTCAGGAATGGCAACGCATGGGAGGTATCATGGGCGAAACAGTATACTCTGTTATGTCCATGGTACTGCTCATGTCTATAGGCGACGGTTACCACTTTCCATCAGGTGGGCCGTCAGCTTGTTTGCCGTACTAAGTTGTACAAAAAAAAATGATACAAAAAGTGTAAAAACAAGAAAGAAAAATTTATGGTTCTTGTCATACGTTATTAACGCTACCATAGATAATAACAAAATAGTAATGTTAGGATGAAATTTGATAATAAATAAATGACGATATTTAGGTATGCATGCCCATACCCAATTTAACATAGGAGCCAATGTATGTACCTGGGCCTAGTTATGATTAATTTTTTTATAAAATTATGAATTGCATTTAAGTATAGTGCAATATACAGTGAACGCTCTAATATAAGCAACATTCTTTATATTTTATTTATTCTACTCAGTTTAGTTAGTAAAAGAAATAAGTAAAAATATTTTCTAGACGTTAAACTATTTTTATACTCCTTTTTCCCCTATAAACAACTTTTAAAAGATTTTTTTTTATATAGAGCGTTCACTGTATAAGTATACATAAAGGCTATTAATACACATTAGTCTGTTCGTTGGACAACTGGTATAAAGGAATTCTTTAGATTCTGACATCACTGTAGAATGCACACGAAATGCTATAATAATTAAAACCTAATTAATCAATTTAAAATCTATTAAAATATTAATAGTAAACGTACTAAAAATCTACATAGGTAATTAATAATGCGCGCGTGTTACTTAAAAATAATTAAACATTGTAATTCTTACAAACATTGGATACACTTTCTATAAACTAACAATGTCATAATTATTACTAAATTATTCTAAAATAACGACTTTATTATGAGTCGTTAATATTACACTAGATCACCATTTATTGATGTGGTTTTTTATATCTCACTTTCCCTTTAATACTAAAAAATATTTAAAATAATTTACTAATTACAAAAATACCAAGGCGTATTACATTATTTTACACTTATAGAAAGATTATTAAAATATAAAAACTATTATCCATTAATAATATTTACCATTCGGTGAAACAACTTTTTTTTTACTAATTAAAACTAAATAATTGAAATTTATTTGGTTTACGCTCCTAATTGGGCAACATCACAACCTCTTCGTTTCCCGAGCTGATGACATAGCTGTGGTGATCCCACGATGTCACCAAGGAATACGCTCAGCAAATAGAACTCCTTTGCCTGGTCCGTTGAACGCTTGTACTGGCTGTGGATAATAAACAAGTTGTTTAAAAATATGGGATATAGCTTTTAAGCATCATTATCAGACTTTGGGCGCCACTCTGGATTACATTTTTGTCAAGACAAATCAAACGAGTCGAAACCTTTTATACTATGCTACGTTTTATCGTGCACAGTTTAAAAATTCCTATGACTATATTTGTTCATATGCTGCTTTTTTATTACACCAGCATATTACATAAATATGACAAATTTCAGTACAATCGGATCATCCAGCAAGTGGATATAAATAGATCATTTTTTAATACAATGAGTTACATACAAGTTAAACAAAAACTTGTAATAAAAATATTGAAATTAATTATGTCAAACCGTAAACCTTTCTAGATTCTTTAAAATTTTTCTTTCAAATTGATAGTTTATAGACAGGATTATCTAACGGGCCACCATGAATTTAAAGGAACAGATCTGACATAAATATATTACATTTGAATGTAATTCACAGATATGTAAAATAATTACTATATGGAATAATAACAATCTCTAAATTTAATTTTAGAAATAGCGAATGTAACTTCAAGGTCTCTTTAAAATCGATCTCGTAAACTATTAAATTTTATGATTATTAAACTAACTATTAACTAACTAAAATGTTATATAAGATACAATAATTTCATACAGTACATAAAATATAAATTAAATTAAGCATAAAAACAAATATTACAGTCACTTAGTTTGAATAAGATTTTTTTTATTATGTATTATATTATCTTTCCATCCTAGTGAAACCGGGGTGAAACGCTAGTGTATTAATATAGTAAGAAATATGCCTAGATATCTATCTTTCATGTAATACCCATATAATTTTTTTTTACGATAATTTACTTTTGATGGTAACAAAATGTATATTTTAGGATTTTGTAAAATCCTTTTATTGTACAAACGATGTCTGTCAGTCCAGCATGGCTGTATAAATCCAAAACGAATTAAGATAGACACTTGAAATTCACAGATAATGTTTAACATGCCCTTACATAACGGTCCAAAGCCAGATAATATAACAAAAGCTCAGAGGCTTATTTGAGGGGGCCACCCTTAAGCTTTTGAGCTTTTATTACATTATTCGTCATGGTACTCGTACGAGCAAACGGGAGGGTGAAAATAAAAAGTTTACCTTTGGAACTACATTTAAAAAAATCATCTCGTAAATTTTACTAATATTATTAATGAAAAAAATTGTAAAGATTTTTGGATATTGACGGCTCAATCACGCGTAAATGGTTAAACGGATTATTTTTTTACGCAATTTAGAACAGAAATCAAACTGACGGTCCACCTGGTGGAAAGTCATAATCGTCACCTATTGACATGAACAATACTATGGACATAACAGATTATACTGTTTCGCCCATGATAACCCCCCATGCGTTGCCATTCTTGAGGACTAAGGTGTTATAACACTAATTTCTAATGGATTACAGAGTAACATAACCCATAGAATTATCATCATATCAACCCTTAACTGTCCACTGCTGAACATAAGCCTTCCTCTTGGTGTGTTTTGTCAGTAGTTACTTCGTTTGGCAGGCGGATTGGCAATTGCAGTTAGGCTTTAGAGATGTTTTAAAAAGAACGTTGCTACCCGTTCCTTGACCATTAAGTCCCTTAGTCACCTCTTCCTATCCCTTGCCTTCCCTTACTACACCCATGGGAAAAGAAGGGATACCCTATTCTATACTGGAACAACACGGAAAAACCCATAGAATACTCTATAAAAATGTATACGTGCAAAGCTGCAAAATATATCTAGTAAACCATAAATTTGCATCTCGTCATATTTGCCGTGTTGGTAATGACAACAAAAATAATTATTACATGATAAGTTAATAAATCACGGTTTATCCAAAGCATGGCTATCATTGTATATTTGGTTATTATAACTTATACACTATCGACAAATTAATATAACGAATGTCTTTAGATATTTCCTATATAATTTAATATTGTTCGAATACTTGTAAAGTTGAAACAAGATATACGGAACTACACATCGGTATGATCTTCGTGCAGTAACCCACAAACGAGAGTAATGCGATCTCACAGTTGCATGCCAAAATAAACCTTGTTGTCACATCTTAAGTAAAATATTAAAACATGCATCTCAATGTAAGATGACAATATTATTGCTCGTATACATATATCAGATAAGATCAGTTGTCATAAGGTTTAAATTTCAATGAGAGGAGATGCCATTAGAACAGTGAAAGTGCCGTTGTGGTATTGCATAAACGCAGTTCACCTCGGATGTCGAACGTGCACTTTATAATCTGCCATAAATTGAGAAATTTTGATAATGTCAATACTAAATAATAATAAAGAAAAAACATTTCAAAATCTTTATTAGAATTCAAAATAGTTCTAATCATTCAAAAATTAAATTGTTTCTTTATATAATTAAAATTGATAAATTGTATAATAATATATTGTAACGATCGTATATTAATTTTGTTAATGTAGTTGTTTTCTTTAACAATGTCGTTGTAATCAAATAAGAAAGTATGTTAACTTTGATTAAAGGAAACAATAATCATTAACTTAGTCGGCGCAACTTATTAACAGTTAAGTAATCGTGTTGGGAAAATTTGGCAAACGGTAAACAATAAGATTATTATAGGGTCTTGGCCACAAATAAATCCTTGATAACTGAGATTTCACATGCGCACAATTTAATGCATTAAATACTTTCGATGACCATAACTTGTAAATAATTACTAAAAGCATACGTTCCGGTTATGAGTCAATTAATAAATTATTAATTAAACTCCTGCCTAGCATAAATTGAGATAACTGTTTATCTATTTACTTATTTATCTTATTACACTATATGGATAGAATACATTTTATTGTTTCCTCCAAAACATTACACTAGTAAATTTGTTATAAATATAATACAAACAATTACAAGTATGATCACACTGAGAAAACTATAGGCGCCTTATCACCTATATTAAAATATTTTTCTCATAGCGTTAAATGAATACTAACTTTATGCTATCTCTTCCAGGTAACCTTTAGAATTTGTATTTTTATCCATCGTAGTAAGAGACAGCTAAAGAAATATAATAAAATATACCAATGCAAGAGATGGCAAATTGAAATAAAATCCTACACAAGCCTCCTAGCCGGTGCTGTAATAGCACGCTATATCCTACTCTTATGGGGTCTCTGCACGTTCTATGTAGCGGGAAGGTAATGACTAAGGAATAATAAAGTAAGATATAACCTAATTATTTTATGATAGGGGAAGGGGATCATTAATAATGGAGTCTAACAGCCTCATTTCGAGCAATATCCTTATCAGGTCAAACTTCACGCGGGTCTCCCTAGAAACTATCCTTTTTTTTTTAATTCGTCACAATGGACCAACTGATCTGCTTACATCCTCAGCTATCATCCCTCATTGGTGCCACGCCAGTGTATACCGATATCGTGGGCAGGGTTACCAATCCATTTTCATCCATTAAAAAAGTATAATTTACGATTCCATAATATAGCAATGGCTGCGTGACTGGAATACACTATACTAGACAGGGCATACGATGACCCACGGTTGCGTGACCACTATTACATCGTGACCCACTTGTGGCTCACCGGATCGTTCACAATGCATTCTTAAACAAAGTGTCCGCAATTCGTCGACTCTCTGACCTGGATGCCACTCACAATTCGGCGCGACCTTGAATCTTCTAATTTGAATGCGTTATGAAATATTCATAGAAATATAATAGATGGATTATGTCAAGGTCATGTGTGTTTCCCAATAGAGGAAGTTTTGGAAGTGTAGCGAACTACTTAATGAATTCGAATGCGAAATTGTTTCCGTGTGCTCGCGGATTATGCGGATTGTAACAGAGAGGACTCAACAACGGAATTCTAGATATAGTAGGAGTAAGTATTTGCGGAATTAATTCTGAAGAACATGGCTCAAAATCATAATATCGATAAAATAATAAAATAAAATAATAGTAAAATTTTATTTTTATATTATTCATAAAGAAATATTTTATAATTATTTTCTGACTGAAGTTTATAAATTAATTATAAACTAAGCTAGAAGTCTTTAGATTTTTCGGTTTTATTTCTGATTAGGCAGTTAGTACGATTCTATAGAACCTTATTGATAAAAATTAATATTATATCTATCTACCTCTAACCAATAAATATTATCGTATCCATAGAATATTTCATAAAATAACAATAATACTGTCTGTTGTAACTATATGATATTTAAAAAGGCTTATTTTAAATATTTTTTTATCTATTCTGTATACTTATTCCCAACTATAGATTACTAGCTAAATATACAATAATTACTATTTGTCGCATAGGAACATGAACAGCACCATGTATCACAGAATAAACTATGGCGCCCACGGTACACCTCATACATTGCTATTTATGTACCCTGTAACTTTTTATTTATTTATATTTAAAAAAACAATCGATACCTGAATACGTCTGGCCAGTCCAACTGCGGTTTCGGCTGGGCCTGCGCCCGCGCCGCGTAGTGTGCGCACACGCGCTCGAACACGCATGCTCGTGCGCCGAACTCGCCGACTATATACTTCTCAACCTCTTGCACGTCGTAAGGTTCAGCAACGTCACTCGAAAATGACAATTGACGACGATTGCGAGATCGGTAGGTTGCTGGAAAATAATAAAAAGAAACTAAAATGTCTAAATTAGCTGTCAACTCATGCTTTGTTCATACAGCAAATGACGCGACATTATAAGATTTTAAACGGTAGGAATCTGGCAGTTGCTAGTACGCCTTCTGTTAGTCTGTAGGTCTTATTAAAAAACAAATAGTGAGTAGCTGTTACTGTCATGGTCAATTCCAATCAATTGACTTGACTTTATCATCAACGTTTTATTCTCTACTATAAAATAAGCATTTAGTTATGTAACGTACGTCATATGCATTGGGTGTACCTATCTTATTTTATACATAAAAAGTTGAACATTTTGTATCACACATATTAATCGTGACAATATTAACAGTCAACATACACAACTTTAGGTCGTGTGGTCCTGATATAAAATACGCCATCACTTCCTTTCTCGTGGGTATTGTAAAAGGTGAATAAGAGAGGGCGAAGGATAAGCAGCAGCGTCCCTCTTAAAACACCTCCAAAGCCTAACTCCAATAGCCAATCCATCTGCCAAGCTTGGCAACTACTGGCAAAACCCCACAAGGGGGAGGCTTGTGTTCGGTAGTGGACAGTTAAAGGCTGATATGATGATGATACATAACTCTATCAGTTGCAGAAAAAATTATAAATCTAAGCCATATATTTTAAATACACTATCGGGACTTAACACGATAAAAAATATAAGTAAATAGTGCTTAAATTTCTGCTATTTTAAAATTAACTGTTAAAACCACAGTCAAAAACATCACGTAGCACAAAAAGTATTTTTCATTTCCATTAAAAAGCCACTTAAAAAATTGTAAACATTATATAGGGTGTTATTTTTTGTTGTTTATCTAAGGTATTCTTTATCTTCTTTTACATGCGACAATTTGGGCCCTTGTCATCTTAATTGCCACTCTAACTTGTCTCGAACAAAGTTTGGGCCGTTTAAAGTTTGAGTCCATCATTTCGTACTTTTTGTTTTTAATTGGACTAACAATAAATAACCATCTTTTTCTGACATTCTCAAGCTTAGCTTTAAAGGTTTATATAGATAAATAAATACCTGCTATAAAAGTATTTTAGAGCGTACATTTAGTGTCATTAAAAAAAATATGCGAGTTACTATAAACAGAAACCTTAAATTATAAAGGAAATAATGAATTGAATCGAGTATAAGCAGTGTATGTGTATTAGTTTCATTTCGATTTTTCGTAACAATTTAGCGTTGCTCTTTTTAAATAATAGTTTTTTTTTCTTAAATTGAATATAGATACATTTGTAAGAAGACCAAAGAATAGACTCTGTGAGTAATATTAATTAATATGTTTGTATACAAGATGAAATCAGTGGAATATACAAACTCACTACCGGAATCATACAATAAAATATATAAACGCAGGTTTTGTGCTTTTGTTGGTTTTTATTTTTTTTTTGTTTTTTTTTTCAAATTTGATAATAGAAATTATTGGTTTTAAATTTATATCTCAATATAGTATCAATTTCTTTGTAGGCAGTATCTTTGACCATATGAGCTGTAATTAGGTAATACTCTTTGTTTATGAAATTATACCTTTTTTTGAATGCTTATAATATTTTAAATTAATCTTTTTCTAATAACTGATTGATCAACTATATTTTTTTTTATTATTAAATAGGTTAGCGCTCGATCTTACCTCACCTGATGGTAAATGATGATAAGATCTAGGATGTAGCGCTCTTACCCAGAAAGATTCTTATACACCATAGACTTGAAGAATCTCAGAGTTTATTTATCCGGAAACAGAAGCAGGAAGAGTATTTTATTCCTTAGCAGTACGCACTAGAAACGAAAATGAATCGTTTCGTGCGGATCTGTGAAATTAATTTAACTATATCCTGTACTCTAAACTAAACATACCTAAGAAGATTCCCTAATTATTATGTATAGAATCGAAATATTTTTTTTCTATGATTATCGAATTCTTAATACCAAAAACATGACACAATAACAAAACATGAAATAAACAGTGACTAGTGTAATGTGTCTCACTAACACTCGACTCGCACGCAAAGTGTGAATAAATAAACCTGTAAACCAATAACTAGTGTAACGCTATATACATCTATCAATGCTGCTGTTGCATTATTTAATAGTTAATGACAGCTAGAACGTAACTACCACCTTTATACTAATGTAATCTGTAAGATTTAAACTAGTTATACCATTATTTCTTTATCTACGATTGAGGTTTATATGAAATATCTATTTTGAAATTACTCTTTGTATTGAAGGTCAGTGCTGGTGACTACTAACGTTACGGAAATTGTAGCGACCAAAGAACTATATTGAAAGTAGAGAAATCAATCGAATAATCATTATAACTGATACTATCTGACAACCAATATATATTATTGTGTATAGAAATTTTTGTCATTATTATGATTTAGTAATGGATTTAATCCCGCTATAAAGGCCACCAATTAGTAACTAGGTTAATATATATATATATATATATATATATATATATATATATATATATATATATATATATATATATATATGTAGTACTAAAATATAAGATTAAATATAAGGTGTATTCATAAAGTTAAATTAAAATCATCAGTAAAATTAAATTTTGTTATGCATCTAATGTAACTAATGAACTGACAGTAGCTATAATATTTTTAATCTTAAAATATTATTATATTATTACTACAAGTAAGTACGTATATATTTTTATATACCACGAAAGTAACAACTAATAACACTTTACTAACCACTAGAAACGAGCATATAGCCCGTCTTATTAAAAACGTGTGCATTGTCGACCCTAAACAAATCTTAATTTACCTTTTTTGAAGAAGCTCATACTCTAGTCTCCAGGAAAAAACCACGACATGGAGCTCATTATACAGCCTGAGTGTTTACGGAAAGAAACCACGCTGAAACTATGCAGTAAGCGACAATTCTCAGTGATGTGACTATTATGTATATGTACATATAGGTTCGTAGTAAGTTAAATATTTATCCGAAATAAGTTAAATATTTGTACGTCGTGTCGTATCATGCATTGTATTGCAAAAAATGCATTTATTGCACCGCAACGACATAAAATGGCGCTATAAATTAAACATGTCACGAATGGGTACTGATGGTTTTCTTTTTTTCTAGTATTTTTGCAATCAGTTTATATTATCTATTATTCATAATCAATATTGTGTAAAAATATTCCTACTATAACATACGAATAATATTAGACTTGCGCTCGCGTCACGATCGCTCATGAATAAGGGTCCCGGATGCACTTGAAACTAGTTGGATATTCTCAACTAATTTTAAGTCAATTCTTACATTAAAATATACCAATATTTTGAATCTAAAATATTGTAGATATAAAAAGAATATGAATATAAAAAAATATACATAAGGAATAAGTTACGCATAAACGTACGAGTACATTTAAAGACCAATACATCATGTCATGTCGTATATTGTACTGCGCAAAAATGCATTTATTACACTGCAGTGACTGAAAGTGGTGCTATAAATTATATATGTCGTGAATAGCTGTTGATGTTTACTTTCAAATAAATTTGTTTTACAATCAATATTTGTAACAATATTCCGTATGAATTGTGATAATAAATAACATTATAAAATCGTCCGTCCTGACTAATTATCAATACACAGTCAACTACTAAGTGTAGAAATCTAAAATTTGAAACATAGGTTACTTAAACACTTAAGTATCCGTTAAGAAAAAAATTCGGAAACATATTTCATAGAAGAAAACTTATAGGGGAAACATGACATCACGCGTGAAAAGCCGCGGTCTACAGCGTGTAAATAATATACGAGTATATTGATATTAAAAATGTTATAATTATACTAAATAAGTAATAGTAATAGTCTTTAATTATAAAGATTTTTACTATAAATTTGAAAGTTAATTTTTATAAAGTTAATTTGTTTGTTATCTCTTAGCGCTTTGACAACTTAATAAAGCATAATGAAATTTAGTACACAGGTTGAGTGTAATATTAAGGGACACAAAGGTTAAATTTGATCCTGGTTAATCAACTAATTTCAGTTATACAAGCAAAGTTATGGGTATTAACTAGTAAATTCATAGTTTAATATATCATGTAAACGAAAAAAATGCATAATATTACACTGTAGTAAATAGACCTACAATAAATTAAACATATTACAAATAATAATGAAAAATAATAAATAAATATTGTGTATTAATAACGATTAATTAATATTGTTAAAACTCGTAAAATAAATAATTTGTATAAATATAAAATATTTTAATTTTGTAATGAGTGTGTATACTGACTGGCATGTTCAATCGAGTATCGATATTTTTGACGTAATCTCGTATCTTGAAACAAATCATGCTCACTATAATATCCAGAAAAGTGGCGGCGTTATGTGCCGCATCATTGGGCTTCCTCTAATATGATTGAACACAACCGATGGTTGGCTTATCCGTCATACTCGTGAACGGGTACTTTTAGTAGGGACTGGTCTGTTTAAGAATATTGTAATTGATTCTAATTTTATCATAATTATAATTAAGTTTGCTTTATTAAAAAAATTACGTATTAAAAGAAATTAAAGAGATTTTTTCTTTTTATAACTGTCTCCCCCTTACAGGAGAAGAACAGGTATGACATAATGCTAATGACCTAAGGATGGCGTCCTCTCATCGTACGAAAGGTATGAAAGTGATAGAATGATATATGACCTACAATCATTGAGGAAATAACTAGTTACTTGCTGAATCAAGTGACAGAAATTGATATCGCTAAAAATTTTGGCTAGGTTTGATCCACTGCAGCCAAAAAGTGATAATATAAAGACAAAAAGATAAATACACAGTCTATCTATGCACAAAATTTTACTCAAATCAGTTTCGTCTTTTAAATGTGATTAAAATAATAAACATCTAAACATCCAAATATTATTATAAGTAGTCTAATGTTAGTAGTTTATCTAAAGTTATACTTACTTGGACTGAGAGAATAGGTCAGTTTTTTAAGAAAGTTAGTTAACCTAACACTAGCTGTAATGACAGGAAAACCGACTAATTGTACCGGTAATTCGAACAATGTCTCTTGACTGTTCACTTCACTGAAATGAAACACTAACAGAACTACTAATGTGCCTGAATAGAACTTGCACCACTCCATTTTAATTTTATTATTTTAAATTACCTACGAATTAAAAACAACTGAACATAAATAAAGACAACACGTAAGTAGGACCTTTCAAAGAAGTACGAGCATCAAATAGTCAAAGATTTCGCAATTACAAGTCACTCTTTCCTTTGACTTGTGATGCTTATGAATAATTTTGAATATTTATCACATAAAAACGTTAATAAAAATAAAATAATTAGCTAGTAACACGAAAGTTTGGTAGACACGTGTTTACATTTAAAAACAATGTAATTCTATTTTCAAAATTATTCTAGATACCGCGCGATTTTGCGTTCCGTTACAACACAACGCGTGGTCAGAAACGCGATGGGATTGTGAACTAGTCAGTCGAACGGTTAAGATTGTACTGCAAAAAATATTATTACCTACGTGACAAGGAACGTAACACAACACCTTCTACAGCAACGGATAAGTTGCGTTTATTGTTGGTCAATCGAACTGTTATGTCATAGTTTTAACCTACTCTGTGTTGAGTAGGATGTAGTAAGATTTTATATGGATTTCCCACGTTGAACCACTATGAAATGTCTATAAAAATCGCAAAACTGCAGTTTACTTCACTTATTCAATCATTAGCAAATTAATATTTCTCTATTGACTGATAAAAAAATATAAAGAAAACAATATAAATACAATCAATATTACATTAAACAATTATTAAAACTTTGTAATAGAGAATTAAACCAGTAGCTTTTGTACTCATACAAATTAGGTATTGAATAATTCAAGGTTTTACTAAGTATTATTAATTACCTATTTGTGTCATTTATATGCACCTTGAGATATCTTTATTTTAAACTAACTAACATATGCATCGTTCTGTCAAAAACTATTTATGTATTTGACGTCAATATTTAAAATGTTTAAAATAGACAGCTAATAACAATTTATATGGGAAAGAGAAATGAGGGGTTTTTACATTTTTCTGGACAATTTATGCAAATTTTTTCTTCATAAAAATGTAAAAATTGTAATTGTCAAGGTATTGAATCTATTTGACAATAAATGGCGTAAAAATATAAAAGCGTGAAAAAATGCTGTACAGAATTAATTATGATGGATGTTTGTGCACGCTAACGAAGTCTCTGGTATAGTTAGTTATAACATTAGGTATAAAACTACTTTTTTGTTCATATATACGATTAGATACCAAAAAGAAAAATCTCTACCATAGACTAAAGACTTTCTTCGATCTTTCATATCATAGGAAACCCTTAATCTATTATTAATCTATGCTTACTGTCAATTGTCTCATCCGAAATCTTTAATTTAAACACAATAAAAATAGTATTTACGAACTTAGAGCTTGTAATTCGTCTTATTCGACGAGTCAGAGTAAATTAAGGATAGTAACTGCTCAGGATTTTTTTGAGAATTATTATCTGGTTTTCAAATTGCTTATAGAAAATATCAAATTATGAATAAACAACAAACCAAAACAACCGTATCTGATGGAATTTGGACTTAATTAGAAAATTTCTTTAATTATATTAGTTTGAAAGACTACAAATAAACTTGAGGAACCCCATTTAATTAGGCTACCTTTTAGCTTAATAATATTGAATGGGATTCAATATCATCAATATTTTAATTAAATATACTTTTGTGTTGTTTTATCCATTCAGCTATTTCTTGCCTGTTCTTCTTGGCTGAAATTGCGTTCCGTTTACTTCAATAAAAATATTTCTTTCTTACCTTGCATTAATCTTTAAATCATTTTGACAAATTGCGAATTTAAATTTTGCACAAACATGATTAACAAATTATTTTCTTATCGTTTATCGTGTGTAATTAACAGTAGTTATATGGTTGTATAATTAATCATCATTTAAAAATAGGCATTATTAAACCACTTTGTACGAAGTCTCATTATAGTAAATCCTGAACCTCAACAACCTATTAAAATTCCACTGCTAGGCACCTGTTTTTTAATCTCCATAAGAAAGTTAAAACCAACACCCACAATATTTTATTTCAGTAATTGTATATCTGTCTAATTCTGTATGACAGTACATGCCATAAACCAAGTAAAGTTATAGGATCCTACGAAAATGTATGCGTAAAAATCTACATTTGATATTAAGCACAAAGTATATGTACGAGTACGATCACTCTTGACGACAGATGTGCTCATTGCAAAGCAACGCCTCAGATAATACACACTAGCTACTGTATACTATACTAGCTATGCATAAGGAAATTACTTAGGTTCGATTCTCAATCAGGGCAACTAAAGCAACGAACTTTAATTTTCTTATTTCTATTTTTACTATTATAATCATTTGTTAGTTACTTGTATGTACTATCTATATGGTATCTCAGTTTGAAATTCGAACAATTAGAATGATTGTATAGGTCTATCTACGGTTCACAATTTTGTTTATTACGAACTATAATTCGCAGCTCTGCCCACGTAAATAATGTATTATTTGTAATAATCTAGAATATGATTTACTTAAAAGGAAAGTAAAATTAACTAAATATTAGGGAGGTTAGTTAGTTCTTAATGATTAATCTGAAATTCGAGGATGGATGGGTATCCACATGGATATCCGTTCCAAAAGGTATCAGATGATAAATGCACCATTGACACCCAAAAAAAAAAATTATGTATATACCATCATTTATCCATATTCGAAATTGAGACATAATAACTATTCACACGGGTAAAGCTGCAAGATACAGCTAGGTTTTAATATGAATAGAATACGATAAGTCTATACACAAATATATAATATAATATATTATTTTTATAAATAGATATACATCTGTTTTATACAAAATTACCTGGATTCAAGGCATATGACAACTTCTTGATAAAATTCGTCAATCGAACGGCTAATATGATGAACGGAAATCCAAATAACTGCACGGGTAACTCAAACGTAGACTCTTGTGCCGATATACATTCTAATACCAAAGCATATATTAAGGTCCACATATAGCACAATTTTAACAAATTCATTTTGCACTTTTTAAATTTTTTATTTTAAAATTTCGAATACTACTTGTCAGAAATTAAGACTAGAATTCCGAATAATAGTCATAGGTAAGTAAATTAAAAACAGCTGTTATCGATTAAAGAGGATACATCAATCATCACAGATTCATAGTTGATGTCCCTTTTGCACTACGACCTTCTTGAACACTCGTATAAAACTGACTATAACCAATAACAGCCACGCGGGGTTAGATTTCGTAATTATATTCATTAAAACCAACTGGTTGGCATTACTAAATCACCACTAGTTACAGATGGGCAAAGCACCGGGTTTAAACCCGGTGCTTTGGTAAAAACCCAATAAACACCCATAAACTCCCATAATCACCCAAAAAAATAGGTTTTTACGTATTTTTTTGAAAATATGTAAGTAATACCAATAAATTATTTTTATAAATTGTATTGATCAATTCTACAATATTAAATAAAACGTTAACTAATAATATTTCAGGAAATTTTAAAAATCTATATATAATAAAATGAAAGTAATTAATTTTCAGTGTTTTCATGTTGCAGTTGATCAACATGTTGGCCTTTTGCTTCCCGTAGATACTTTAAAATTTCTTCATAACACCTCGTTCGCACACATGGCCGTATATATTTAAATTCTTGAGCCACTAACAGTCCGAAATACTCATTTCTTTTATCCTCTTCTCCATAAATTAAGCATTTAGAACAGTTTGTTTCTTCTTTCAGTAAATTTTCTTTTACTTTATCCTCGTTTTTTTCTTTGTTGCGACGACGCTGGGTAAATCATCTGGACACTGGGTCTCACTATCGCCAAATATATTTGGAGATCGGCTTCGGCTACGGCTTGGCAGACATTTTTTTCTTTCTACAATTTTAAATTAAATTTATTAGAATAAATGCTTCGAACACACGCGATCTAAGTACCTTTTGTGTTTATTATACCTTACCTACCTAGGTATAAAAAGAGTACTTACGTAGATTTTCTTTTATTAACTGTTTTATACGAAGATCTTGATCTCTCAAATTAGCATCCATTTTACTTCCAGTGATTATCAACTAAATTAATAATCCACAAAGTATTAAATAACGTTTTTATGAAATATTTAGCACAAAAACAATACCCTTTAAATATCGATCGTCAGTAACTGTGGCTGACTTACCTATATTCTAGCAAGCAGGACTGCCAGATGTGAAGGGGAAATCCCCAATAAATTGTTGCATGTGACTGATGATGTGAGCATGTTCGTTTCATAATAAAAATGTTGCCAGGTAACCAAAAAGTCGTATGTTTTTGTGCGAATTACGATCATAATCTTTACGATCGTACATTAAAAAATAGACAAATAATAGTATGAGTACGATTTAAATCGTATATCTGTCAACCCTGCTAGCAAGACAGCGACAAAATCACGTTGCATAACAATGTAGCCCAAGCTTATATCTTATGAAATATACGGAAGAGATACGGACTTAGAAAAAACAGAAATGTTGTTCTTTGTGGAAGTCATTGATGAAATTCTATGTATTTTAGCCCGCAAACTTTCTTCAAACAAAAACAGCGCCATCTAGTATCGAGTTCTGTAATTATCTCTTTGTTTATGGATTTGAAGTAAGACCGCCACGCATGCAATACATTATGACTGGGGATTCCCCTATTCGTCGACGCTGAATATGAGGCGACGACAATCACTGTCAAACGTGTTCACTATTACTCTGACTCTGGTAACGTGACTTCCTGGTAACGTGTTAGGTAGGAAAAGCAGTAAAAAAGTGCATATTAAGGGAGCAGATTTGAAATAATATTTATACTTAACAAGAAATAATTAAAGGTAAGTGGATTTTTGAATGATACAATTATATCATGATCACTTAACAATTTTAACTTAAAATTAGATGTATTATTACAAGCTTTTATTTAGCTTGCGTTATGTAAATAAAAGTATGTAGGTATGTTCGTATGTTGATGCAATTATCCTCAATCCTCAACCGACTGGGATAAAATTTTCCATACACGTTTATTTTGGATGATAGTGCATAGTTAGCTGAGAGTCGTCATTGGATAATAATGGTGGATAGCCTAAGATGTGTACTAGATATTTATTTTTAACATAATATGCGTAAGTACCTAATCGAATTAAAGAAGTTGCTGAGAAAAATACAGAACAATAC